CCGAAAAGCATAAGATTTGTGCAAGTTTTCATGTTTAAATTCGAGCTTCAAATAAGTTACTCATCAAGTGTAGATAACTGAGGCCAAGAATTTTAAGCATTCTAGCCCCCAGGCATACACAGGTATGTCGTGATGATATCCGGTTCCCAAATTTAGGTGAGATTTAATGTTCTGACGACAGTTGTTTAATAGTGCTTTGAATTTATTGAAAACTCTAATGGATCTACAAATTGGTCGTACTTAGTAATAAATTACTCCTACATATTTAACAAAATATCTTTTCACAGAAACTAATAAAGGTTAATAAATTTAAGCCATTTCTGAAAATATATGGACTTTAAAAAATTAGTCCTGGCCGCTGAAGTATGAAATACAATCAAACAAATCCAGCTCCAAAATTTACAAAACTTGCTTCCGCAAATTTAATTTTTTTTACGACTACAAGAAGATTCTTTTTAGAATAATAAACCACACATAGACATGGGAGGGTGGGCGGAGCTAGTACTTGCTAAGATAAGACTGATTTTGGCAAATGGCATACACTGTAAGAAAATAAAGGGTGGGTGGGCGGGGCCAGTTTTTGCTAAGATCAGACTAATTTACTCGTTAGTGTCCCTGAGAAGCTATATTATTAACAAGGGTAAAGAAAACGATGGCACTGTTATACCACCAGTTTGCACATTTTAGATTAGTAAAATTTTGACCGGGTGCTTTTGAATTTTTGGAGGAAAATTTTTATTAACATAATATAAACATTAAACACATAATAGTAATATTAACATACGTATTAATAAACCTCAACAACACATTAAATTTTTATAACATTTATTTCGCAAAATTTCGAGATGACGTTATTAAATCTTGAGTGGGAATGACCAGGTAAATTTTGGTTAGCGTTTTACGGTCTCCACAATATTCTTATTAAAACACTTTTAAAATATCAGTTATTTAACTTTTATTTAAATAGAGAAAAGGTTAGAGGTTAATTCGACAGAGAAGACAGCTTGCTTAATCATTGTAATTTTTCGATGTATAACCATAAACAATTGAAGTTAAGCATATAGATAATACATTTTTCCCGTTGTTTATCTGCTTTAAACATGAAGTGGGTGAGATTTCTTCTTCAATTTTTCGCTTCCATTGAATGTTCGAAAAACGAGTTGTTTTCAATCTCTATAAGGATAAAACGGATAAGGACGTTCCAAATTAATACTCAATATAGTAATAGTGGTTGGCGACTTTTGACAACAAATTTAGAAAAAAAAAAAATAATAATAACATACGAAAGTGAAGAAAACTCAAAAAATACAATATTAAAGCATGTTTAAAACACGTCATATTATGAATTTCAAACGAGATTTATGTACCGAAATATTAAGATTATGTCATCAAGTTTTTGCAAGGGATGATCAGGGGGTTATAGGTGCTACAACAGAATTTATGAATATTTTCCGTTAATGTCGTTGGGTGGGGCTAGTACTAGAAAATAAAGGGCGGGTGGGCGGGGCTAGTTCCTACTAAGATCAGACTAATTTTGGCAAATAACTTCTAAGAAATACAATCAATAATTTGCCTTCATATTATTATTATTATAAAACAAACTTAAGTAGCCTTGATAAGATAAGACAACTGACATACACAAGACATAAAGGGTGGGTGGGCGGGGTTAGACTTGCTAAGATAAGACTGATTTTCGCAAATGACATATACAAATAAAGGGAGGGTGGGTAGCGCTGGTACCTGCTAAGATAAGACTGATTTTGGTAAATGACAGATATTGTAAGAGAATAAAGGGCGGGTGGGCGGGGCTAGTTCCTACTAAGATCAGTCTAATTTTGGCAAATAACTTCTAAGAAATGAGAAGAATAATTTAGCTTCATATTATTATTATTATAAAACAAACTTTGGTAGCTTTGGTAAGATAAGAGTGATTTTGGCAAATGACATACAGTCTAAGAAAATAAAGGGCGGGTGGGCGGGGCTAGACTTGCTAAGGTAAGACTGATTTTAGCAACTGACATAAACTCTAAGAAAATAAAGGGCGGGTGGGCGGGGCTAGTACTTGCTCAGATAAGACTGATTCTGGCAAATGACATATTCTCTAAGAAAATAAACTGCCGGTGGGCGGGGCTAGCTCCTACTATGATCAGACTAATTTTGACAAGAAATAAAAAGAACACTTTAGCTTCACATTATTATTATGAAACAAATTTAAGTAGCCTCACTGACGTTTCATTATTAAAAAACATATATATAGAGAGCGAGCGCAGCGAGCACGTTTAAGTGTTATTAAAAAATCACTCGTTAGTGTCCTTGGGAAGCTAAATTATTAATAAAACATTTTTGATTGCTTACAAAAGGTGAATCCTGAAAATGTGTGTGGTTATTATTAGACGTACCTACACTGTTTTACACATTTTTAGTAAGAATTACTTAGCAAACATTTGAGGTGACGTCACTGTAATTTTGGTGGGAATGGATAAACAAATTTTGGTTAGTGAATAATAAATTGGTTTAGTAGTTTCTAAGATAAATAATGTAGTTTTGAAAACTTGACTAAAAATCTGTAAATGGATGGGGGGTAAAGAAAATGATTGCACTATTAAACCAGTAGTTTGCACATTTTAGGTTAGTAAAATTTTGACCTGGCGTCGTTAAATTTTATTAACAAAATAACGATTTCAGAGTAACAAATCTGGTATTTTTAAGACATATTTTAAATTGTCTTTGAAAAATATCGTTTTTTTTTCAAAATCTGATGTTTAACGTAAAACAGAAATTGAATTTTAATATCATTTACTTCGCAAAATTTCGAGATGACGTCATCAAATCTTCAGTGGGGATGACCACGTAAATTTTGGTTAGCGTTTTACGATCTCTGCAATATTCTTAAAACGCTTTTAAAGTATGACAACAATTTGACTTTTATTTAAATAAAAAATTGGTCAGAGGTTACTTCGACAGACTTCCCTTGCAGACAATATGAAATACTTTCTCAATTTTGTTGTTCTTTTTCATTTGTCTTGGAAGTTAGGGATCACGAAATATATTTAATTCAGATAACCAAAGGGACTTGCACTTCGGAAGAATTTGGCTATTAACACATTCAAATGATAACCATTTGTGTTAAAAGAAAATGAATTGATTTTGTCTCCTTAAAACAGAGGAGAGGACTAATTAATTAATTAAACACACTCGGTTTTTTCCCCAAAAACTGGATATCTAGCGTAAACACTCATAAATTATAAGAACATTTATTTGGCAAACTTGTACGATGACGTTATCATTATTTGAAGGGCGCATAAACGGACAAATTTTGATTTACAATGTACCATGCGTTGAATACCTTACAATGTTTGCAAGATTTCACAGTAGTCGGCTTTCCAATTTTAAAGTTAAATTGAAAAATATTATTACACAATTTTGTTTATTATTGCAAAAATGTGGATAAGATGGGTCGAAAAATACACCAATTTTGACTTTTGGTCTTAAATTTGTAAATTATCCTGGTGGACGAACAATATGTACTATATAGTAAATTCTGCCAGACTTGCTTCGAAGTATATAGTTACCATCTGTTTAAAATTTACAACCCTATAAACTTGGTAGTTGTTGCATTTATAGCAATTTTTATTGACACTTTCCTTTATTTCGGTAGTTACACACTCATATTTTATGTTTTCCACTTTCTATGTTTAGAAACTCCTATTTGTACCTGCGTGTTTTATTTACCACTGTTTGTCACAGATTTTCTTTAGACTAAGCATTCAAATTTTCGCAAAAATATTAAAATTGTATAGAGGACTTTGTGTGGTAAAGTCGGTAGTTGTGCCGTAAAATCCACGAAGATCACGGGTTCGATTGACTTACGGGTCACAATTTTTTTTATTGATCAAATCAAGAACGATTCAACCCATTTTTTCGAAAATTTGAGAAAATGGTAATGTTGCGCCCGCCTCTATTTTGAGTAGACAAAATCACTCGAAGCAGGCAGTTTGCTTAATCATTGCATTCTTTCGATGCACAACCATAAACAATTGAAGTTAAGCATGTAGTTGTTGAGGCTTCTTCAATTTTTCGCTTCTATTTAATGTTCGAAAAACGAAAGTCGCTTTGAGAGGTACTACTTGATAAACCAGTTTCTATTTTCACTCTCTATAAGGATAAAACGGATAAGGACGTTTCAACTTAATATTTAAGATTTTAATTAGTAAGTGTTATTACTTACATAAACATGGTATTCGTGGTTCATGTTTAAGATGATTAAAAATTAATTGAATTATTTAACGGGTTTCTATATTAAGACCTAATTTAGACTATAATTCTGTCTTGGTTAAATTTTATGATTTATGTGGAAAAATATCTCAGGTGTACATTACCTATTACCATATACAATCTGTCAATAACAATTTTTATTTGCTGCAAAATTTCGCACATTTGAAAACAAGATTTGGAAGTTAGGGCTGATTCAGAGTGTTCGTTGGTCATGGGTCGGTTCACGTGATGCAAGTAAATTTATGTAAATTTTAATTTCTGTAAACAACCCGAGGTTTCTGACTTGTCTGTCGTCTACTTATTTCTGATGATACGGCAGTTTAGAAATTCGTTCTAATCGAAAAACACTCCTCTTTCTCGTTGTACAATTAAAAAGAATGTTATCAATTTGCATTACAGTGCCAACACGATAAAAACAATTACGTACCTAATTAACCCACCAAGGACTAACTAATTTTACCATAGTCGTGAATGAAACTGTGTATTAACAACACGAAGGTAAGACTGCATTTAAAATTTGGGTAATAGTTGCATAAATCGCATTTTTACACCACCTTCTTTGAAATAACTGTAAACCGATAGGTAAACCTTAAGACTAACAATTTCTTATATAATACAGCTCTGATACATTATACATTTCACAACGTTGCATTTAATCCGGTTGATCATATACGGTAAAAATTCTTCGGCAGTTTTAATTCCAAGAGCAACGGAAACGGTTCCCAGAGGGTCCAGTTCGGGATTCATTTCATTCATATTGATTAGATCTAATTCACAAGGTAAATAGCGGCTATACGTTGCACATCTTTTGTTGTGGTTTTGTGGGGACGGCGTTCGCACGATATTATAAATTTAGTCGGAGACAAGACAGTCGAAAACAACGACGCTGGTGTAACGTGCCGCCACCGAACACAAGACAAACTTTGTTTTAAATGGTGCGAAATATAACAACAAACTAGGTAGGTAAATGCTATCGCTTGCATTTTTTGTTTTTCATTGTGCTTGTTTTGAATAGTCGCGAATTTTAAATGCGCTTTTGGACTAAAGTTTTTGTTGAAAATATTTTTAACTTAGTAAATGTACAGCGTCAGCCTTGACAATTAGCTTAGTTTTTTTTAATATATACGTTGTATGATCCTACGTTTGTTGCCAATATTATCTGGTTATGTAAATTCAGAATTTAAATTCGTTATTGTGGTTCAAGTTGGTGTGCGTTGCGTCTAAAACTCAAAAGTAGTGCGTAAATTTACCAGGTAAATTAAATTAAGTTACGTTACGTGTTTTTCTGAATCATTATTTTCGTTTTTCATTGATAATAATATTATATCGATTTCCATAATGTGGTCAGAATTTCCACTACAAAGATGACTTTTTCATCGAAACTTATGCATTTAATTCCGTGTAAATTGCGGTTTTGGTACAACTACTCATCTGGACGAATTTTAAACCATTTATCCGCCAATTTTAACCAAATGTTCCCGATACAGCGATTTATTTTTAAAAACGAGGCACAAATACAAATATTTTTTTACTGAATCGAAATAGATGCAAAGTGCCATAAAGCGATTATAAATTTAAATCAAGTGAAAAATATTGTATAAAGTTGAAAAAAACCGTCTCAGTTGTGCATGTAAAATTAAAATGGTTTAAAAGTGAACGCATGTCCATCTTGATTAAAAAAAAGAGAACAAGTGTGCATTATTAACTGATTTCAAAAATAGGCGTAAACGTAGTAGTCTATAATTAAGTATCATGAGTGCTATTGACGTAGTTTTATTAGATGATCTTGTAGATAGCTACTGATTGTTCAAATAATTGGACAAGGTTAGGCAATTGTTTAAAAATTGGTGACAAGTCGTTGAATAATTTTTATCAAGTTCAGTCAGTACACTTGTTCCGCTTCATCGAAATGAATACGCAGTTTTAATTATGTAATAATTGGGTCATTCGAAAATTAGTACAGACGAGTAGTTATTATTCGTACTGCGTCGACTAATTACTGGCTTAAATGGACTGGAGAAATGTACGATAAGATACAGGATGTTCCATAGAAGTCAGACAATAATCATACCTATATAGTTTGAATTATTTAACTCGGTTTCTTTGATTTATTGTTTGCCAAATTGTGTTGGCAGCTGTGTACCTACATCTGCAGTCTGCTTTCGTTTCTTTATATAGTTTTATGGACTCCAACTTCCTAAATACCTGGATAAAATAAAAATGTTCGAGTTGTAACCACAGAAATATTTATTGGAGTAATGACTCAAAAATGCAGACTGCCACAACCACATTCCAAGTTATGAGACCACTGGCTGTACAGGGCAGGATTCCGTTATTAGTCTGCTTAAGTCTAGGAACTTTCCTAAAGTAGCTACCTAAACAACCACATTTTAAGAAATGCTTTGTCAGGCGAATTAATTTTGATACAATTTTCTTAAGTCTCAAATTATTTTAGTTCACATAAATTATCCAATTATATTTGATTCCTCAGAACCTCAGAAGTAATTGTACTGAGTATATAAAGATTGGTTTTATATTATTAGGCAAATTATGGTTAGCGTTATATCTAAAACTTATAAAATTTGGCAACAATCGGTAAGGTAGTTTCGGAAATTATCTGCTTTAATAAAAATCGACAGACGGAAATTGGGGATCTATTTGTTCATACTATAGAGGTCATGAAATGTCCAAAAAGCATGAAATTAAACCACAAAATATTGTCAGGTTTCGTTCCAAAAATAATATAACCAAATCTCAAATATGTGGATGTTAGTTGCCTAATTTATTGTTTATAAGTATTTAAAAATTTTCAAAATTTGTTTGAAACACATATAATTTTTACAAACGATGAAGGATAGACTGCAAGTTGTAAAATATATTTGAAATAATGTTTCAAAATTAATAACTTTTTTAAATTTGTTTAAAACACATTTTTCGATTTTTCAGATTTTTGATTTTTCGATTTGTTGATCTTTTGATTGCTCGATTTTTTAATTTTCAATTCTTCGAATTTTTTGCCTTCTCGTTCTTGGATTTTTTGATTTTTCAATTTTTTGAAATTAATTTTACAGTTTTTCGGTATTTTGATTTTTCAATTTTCGGTTTACCGTTTTTCTTTTGATTTTTCGCATTCTCGTTTTTAAATTTTCTGGTTTTTCAATTTTTCGGACTTTTTTCCAGTTTTCCCATTTTTCCATTTTTCGCCACTTCCATTTCTCAATTTTTCGATTTTTCGACTTCTCGATCTTTTGATGTTTCGATTTCGCCCTTTTTCAATTTTTCAAATTCGATTTCTCGATTTCTGGATTTTTCGATAATTCGTCTTTTTAATTTTTCGATTTTCCATTTTTTCAGCGTTTCATTTTTGGGATTCATGTATTCCATTTTTTCAATTTTTGGTGTTTCTAATTTTTGGATTTTTCAATTTCTCAATTTTTTGATTAATGGATTTTTTAATTTCTCGATTTTTCATCTTTCCGATTTCTCCGTTTCCCATTTTTTCGATTTTCAAATTTTCAAGGTTTAAATTTTGGGATTGTTCAATATGTAATGCGATTTTTAAATGTTACACTTTTCGACTTTATTTTTTTGATTTTTTTACTTAGTCGGTTTTTCAAAATTTTTGCAATTTTTTAAATCTTACATTTTTAGATTTTTCAATTTTTTGATTTTTCGATTAGTTGATGTTTTTGTAAATATTCAATTTTTTTAAATTGGTTGTTTCGATTTCTCAGTCGATTGTATGCCCTCTCATTTTTTTTTTTGATTTTTCAATTTTTCAGAATTAATTTTTTAGTTTTTCGATATTTCGATTCTTCAGTTTTTCGATTTATCGGGTTTTTTAAGTTTAAATTTTTTAATTTGAAATTTCCCCATTTTTCGATCTTTAGATATTTCGATACCTCAATTTTTCGATGTTTCGATTTCGCGTTTTTTCGATTATTCGAGTTTCCAATTTCTGGACGTTTCAGTTTGGGGATTTATGTATTTAAGTTTCTGGATTTTTCAAATTTTGGCGTTTCTAAATTTTCCGATTTTTCGGTTTCTCAATTTTTCGATTTCTCTGTTTAGTTTTAGGATTTTCGACTTTCTGTTTCCTTAATTTTTAACTTACTCCACTTCTCAAAATTATACGAGTTTTTAAATCTTACATTTATCGGTTTTTCAGTTTTTTGATTTTTCGATTTTTTTCATTTTCAATTTTTCGAATTTTTAAGAAGGCAAAAAATCAAAAAATTGAGAACAATGAAAACTCTCAATACATATTTCGATTTTTTGCCTTCTCGTTTTTAGATTTTCCGAATTTTTCAGTTTTTCAATATTTTGATTTTTCAATTTTCGATTTAACGGTTTTCTTTGGATTTTTCGCCTCCTCGTTTTTAAATTTTCTGGTTTTTTAATTCTTCGGAATTAATTTTTCAGTTTTCCCATTTTTCGATTTTTCGCCAGTTCCATTTATCAATTTTTGGATTTTTTGACTTCTCGATCTTTGATGTTTCCATTTCCCGATTTTTCAATTTTTCGATTTCGATTTCTCTATTTCTCGGTTTTTCGATAATTAATATTTTCAATTTTTCGATTTTCCAGTTTTTCAATGTTTCAGTTTTTGGATTATATGTATTAATGTTTTCGATTTTTGGCGTTTCTAAATTCTTGGATTTTTCCATTCCCCAATTTTTCGATTAATGGATTTTTGATTTTTCGGTGTTTCGTCTTTCCGATTTCGCCATTTCCCAATTTTTCGATTTTCAAATTTTCAATGTTTTTTGGTTTGGGGATTTTTCAATTTTCCGATTTTTCAATATGTATTTCGATTTTTACATTTTTACATTTTTCGATTTATCAATTTCTTGATTTATGGATTCGTTGATGTTGTAAATTATCAATTTTTCGAACTTCTAGATTTTTCACTTTTTGGTTGTTTCGATTTCTGTCTTTCGATTTTTGCCCTTTTATTTTTCGATTTTTCAATTTTTCGATTTATCGGGTTTTTTAAGTTTAAATTTTCCAATTTTAAATTTCTCCATTTTTCGATCTTTAGTTATTTCGATACCTCAATTTTTCGATTTTTCGATTCTCGACTTATCGATCTTTTTCAATTTTTGGATTATTCGTCTTTTCGATTATTCGAGTTTCCAATTTTTCGACGTTTCAGTTTTGGGATTTATGTACTTACTTAAATTTTTAAATTTTTCAAATTTTAGCGTTCCTCAATTTTTGGATTTTTCAATTTCTCAATTTCTTGATTAATCGATTTTTTAATTTTCTGATTTTACGAGTTTTTAAATCTTACATTTTTCAACATTTTCATCTATTCGATATTTTAATTTTTGGATTTTTGAATTTTTTTTTGATTTTTCAATTTTTCAGTAAGCTGTTAGTCGATGTTATTATGACAATTTTTATTTTATCATTATTAAATATAGACTGAAAAATTAATTCCGAAAAATTGAAAAATCGAAAAAATCTAAAAAGAAAGGACTGAGAAGTCGAAACAACTAAAAAATGAAAAATCTAAAATTTAAAAATTAATTATTAGTTTCTTAGCTTACCATCCGGAAATAAAAAGTTTTGAGTTAATTCTGCCTTTGGTTTGCATCCGTTGGTAACGAGTGATCGAGAAGTTTTCAGATCAGAGCAGGCCATGGAAATATTGTTCACTTCTTTGATTAAACCGTTGCGTCAAAATCAAAATTTGTCAAATTAAATTCTTCCATTTGTTGACACTGACATTTGTAAGGTTTGCTAGTTTAATCAAAGAAATGAAAAATATTTCCATGGCCTACCCTGATCTGAAAACTATTTAATCACCCGTTATATTTTGGAGGCAAAAATTCAAAATAATAAAAATTTAAGAAGACGGACCCAAAATGTGGCCATGAACGTAATTCAATTTTTTTGCTTTTATTAAAATGACCTCAAATCTTCCACTTTTAAGTTATTAGGTCAATTGAAGCTTACTGATTAGTATCAATCAGTATTTTCGGTTGAGACAAATCAAATAGAAACGGTTTTTTTGTGAAAAAATATTTACGTGTAAAATTACATGTGACTGAAAAGAAGTGATTTAGTAGACCATGAAATTAAGGAACTTGGAATTTTTATTGGGTGCTAGAACATAACTTTTTATCGATCATGTGGTATATGGCTTAGAAAACATCTCTGAAGCAACGATCACTGTGAGTTTTCCCTTTCCACAGACATGTGGCAAAAATCTGTATTTGACTCTAAAAAAGAAATTGAGAAAGGTCGTAAATTCTTAAAAAAGAATCTGTGAAAAGTCGCAGATTATTTTTATAAACAAATAGGAGTAATATTTTTGTAGCTTGTTAACACCAGTGTGATAATATTTTATGTACTCTTAACCAACAAAAACAATCTAAATTTAATAACTTCGCAACCACAGAGTGACCATGATACTAATAAATTTAAAAATTAGGTGCATGTAGGCAAAATCACAAGTCATCGGCGCCACTTTAATTTTTTTTCGACGTTTCATGACCCCTAGTCTGTTTGTCGTCTGACTGCCCGTCTGTCTGTCAGTCAGTGTCAATTTTTAGATAATCCCTATTATTATGCAATAAAATACTTAAGTTAAAGTGTTACTATTATTTTTCAAAAAAGCGGGATTTGTATCTGTTTTATGTACGTTTATTCAGACTTTTTGGATTGTTTTCAAACGGAAAATTCGCTGATAAAGTTTTCGTTTCCTGTATCAGAGGTTCATTAGTAATTAATTGGTTCTGTCAAATATAAACCGAAATTAATCTTGATCGAGTGTTTTCACGTCTGCCATTGTTTGAAAGTTGTAAAATTTGGATTAATTTTGTCGTTTCACCCACGTTTGAAGAACACAGATGATTAAGTACACTGACAGAAAGAAGCGGCAAAACATACGTTTTCATAGGTGGAAAAATATTTTAATGTATCTCCTACGCTATAATGTTTGCCAAGTTCCAGTTTATTTAAGTAACAATTGTAGGAAAAATAATGGGTGCATTTCTATGAAACTGTGTAATAATAATTGTTTAAAACAATACCTTTAGATAAGAATTTTACAATGCATTATGTAAGAACTAAACTTACTAACTACACAAAATAAATTCTCTATTTTTAACAGTAAATATTGATTCTCAGTATATTACGATATAATTTCCTGCAGGATGCATTCATCGAACTGTATAACACATACCTGTGCATGCCAGATGTCGGATGTGATACATTATCTGGTGTTTATTCTGTTATTTATTTTATTTTTTCGGTACTTAGGTTATCTGGAATCGTAGCGATATAAAACATTTTTGAGTGAAGATTAAAATGTGAACAGTCGTTGAACACACTTGAGTCCTCATTTTACGCAACGCAAACTGTAGTACAAGTTAGTACTATCCAGAATTGCGAGACAGTGGTTGTGTGTAAAGTGAGTAACGAGTTTTGAGGGAAAAAATTGTAGCGTTTTTCCAAAGTTGTGAATAACATAATTTTGTAATCAGTTTGACGAGGTGGGTAAAAATTTGGTATCTAAATTTTTGCAAAAACTTTATTTTTTATTTTGATGAAAGGACAATTGTTTACGGCGGTATTGTACTACTTTAAATAGTTATTTACAAACGGATGTACATGACTCTAATTGGCTGGAGTGTCTGACCCTTCGTCCAATGTCAAGGAATGAAAAGAAGGAAATTGTATAATGTAATTTAGGAAAATTTGCGCCGGAAATAATTGCTTTAGTTTACTACTAACTTTGTTTAAGAAAATAATGAGAATAAGTTAATACTACTGTATTATAAACTAATGATGTTATTGTGATTAGTGTAAATTTCAAAAAAAGTAGTCAACAGATTTACAGTCACTTAAAAATTTTATTGATTTTAATTAAAAATGCATAGTAAAAATGTAGACGATCTGTTTGTGTTTCTAATACGTTCTGGTATTAAAAAAAATCCCCGTTAAATTGAAAATAGCCTATAGTAACTGAGCTAACCGTACAACATGCAGCAAAAATAACTAATAAATAATTTTACTATTCAAATACGTCACTATTTTTAATTTCATGCTTTGAATTTAATAGTTCATACATATTCGCGATTATTTCGATATTTAAATACCACTCGAATCCGCATTTTCCCGAGGTTCCGTCTTCAAAAGAACTTCTAACGCCACTTGATCCAATTCTTCAATAAGATCAAGGCCAATTTACTTATAATAAATTCACAAAGCCGAAATAAATTTAAATTTGAGTAGCGAGCGAGTAGTGTCGTAAAAAAGGATGTCCACTCCATTCGCGATTATTAAGATGTGAGCTGTGCTCGTCTCCTTTTCCACTAACAAATTTTCCTTTTTGCAGTGTAGCAACTATGGGAATTATAACGAGCACATTCAGTTATTACATGAGCAGGACAGATGATCCGGATCCAATTACCACACTGACATCAAGAGATAAATATGTGGTACAGACTTCGTGGGCACCAGTCAAAAAGGATCTCACCGGGAATGGAGTGGCCCTCCTTTTACTGTAAGTGCGTTAATCGTGATTACCGGGCTAGAAAACGAGTTTCCAGGTTTTTCGACAAGTTCCCGGAGGAGAAGCTGCATTTCCCGTTTAAGGATGTCCCGAAGGAGGAGCTCAAAGGCAGCAAGAAATTCCAGGCTCATTGTAATAGCGTGATGACGAATGTGGATGCGCTAATTGCTAACTTAAACGACGGGGAGCTTCTAGTCAATCTGTTGGAGAAACTGGGGAAGAGTCATAAGAGACATCAATTGAAACCTCCTTCCTTCGCGGTGAGTGTTTGATTTTTTTTAATGATGATGGTTATGGATTGTTGTAGCATCTCAAAACGACAATTTTGGAGCTGTTTTCTTCATTTATGAATTCAGAGGCTATTCAAACGTGGGACAAGCTATTGGGAGTCGCGTTTAGTGTTATTGACCAACATTTGTAACTCTGTGTTTTGTTGTGTTTTCTACAATGTTTTTTAACTATTTAATATTGACGTTTACATTATATTAATAATACTATAATAATATTATGGTGAGATTTATTACTGTTTTATTTTAATCCTTGTGTTTTTTTTAATTTTCATTGTGGAGATTATTATAGTCGTGCTTATAGGCAACTGCTTATACACAACAATACGGATGAATGCATAACTATGACACTGTCTTGTGTTTATGATTATTGATTACTTTGATTATGCATACAGTAATAGAACATCCGGAATAGGGGGCTTTGTATTTTGCAGTCAACTTGATTTTTTATATTTCGCCCATCACGTTGAAGCGTATACAGATGATGTTGGCCCCCTATATAATCCTTATATAGTTATTTTATCAAAAATATTCTTTTATCATAAAATAAATAACCTAGCGAAAAATGTATTCCTGCTCACTTAGAGAAGGTATTTTGACACAGAATAAGGACGATAATATTTGGAATTATTCTATTCAATCAACGGAATTTTGATAACGAACAGTTTGATTACACAAACAATCTATGAAAATATTGAATTGATTGTTGTGAAATTCTAGATGTGATATCTTATATTATTTTTTTAGAAAATTGTTTAAATAAATAAAAAAATTAAGTTTTTAAATTACATTATGTATGTGGATAGAAATTGATTTATTTTATTCTTTATTTCTTTGACTTTTTTCTGTAAAAGTGTAAAATAACAATTGAAAAAATCTTGTAAACTCAATCCAGGGAAAACTATATAATAAGAATATTGTGTAGTTGGTAAAATTGGTAAAACGCTAACTAAAATTTGTCTAATCATACCCACTAACAATTTGATGACGTCGCTTCAAAATTTTGCTTGGTAAATGTTATTTAAATTTTATGTAATAACATATTCGTGTACTTGTGGTTTATCAATCCGTCTAGAGTTTTTACTCTTGACATACAAATTTTTGAGTGGTATTATATAAATCTTTTCATACAATAATTACAATTTCGCCAAGTTTTTAATTTTTCGACAGTACTTTTTTGTAGACTGAGTTTTCCATTTTCTTTCAAGTTGACGCTCTGTCGAAAATTTGAATAAACCGCCAAATATTGATGTTTTGAGCTTTGCCGATTTTGAGAAGTTCAAATAACTGTGTCATCAAGTGTAGGTAACTGAGTTTTATAACCAAGAATTTTAAGCATTTTAGCCCCCAGGCATACGCAGGTATCTCTTGATATCCGGTTCCAAAATTCAGGTGAAATTTGATGGTCTGACGGCAGCTGTTTCTATTTCTATTTAAACAATTTTAAGACAATTCAGAATAAAAAAATATATATCTTTCCTCGGAAACTAATAAAGATTCATAAATTTAAGCCATTTTTAAAATTACTAGTAATATATGCCTCAAAAAATAAGTCTAAATTAATGCACACACAACTTCCTTGACCTCTGAAGCGCAACTAAACAAATTCAGCTTCAAAAGTTACAAAAGTTGCTTCAGCAAATTAATTTTTTTACGATTAAAGTAAGATTCTTTTACGAATAATAGACCAAACATACACATGGGTGGGTGGGCGGGGCTTGTATTTGCTAAGATAAGACTGATTTTGGCAAATAACATACACTCTAAGAAAATAAAGGGTGCGTGGGCGGGGCTAGTATTTGCTAAGATCAGACTGATTTCGGCAAAAAACTTCTAAGAAATAAAAAGATTAATTGCGTTTCACATTATTTACTGTTATAATAAAACAAACTAAGTAGCCTTCCCGACGATGCATAATTTTAAAAAAGAATATCAAGAAAGCGAGCGCAGTGAGTACGTTTATGAATCAGTGTAGAGTTTTTACTGTTGGTATACATTTTTTCCAAAAAAAGAAAGAAAACAGGCCGTAATAGTCGAATGGAGTAGTATAAGCGCGTATTACTAATAACGTCAAGGTCACCGGTCCAATATCCTCATGGGGCACTTTTTTTTCTTACATTGTGACTTGTATTATATAAATTTATTCACACAATAATTACAATTTCCGAAAATTAAAGTTTGATGAAATTTGATGTTCTGACGACGGCTGTTTCTATTTGATTTAAACAATTTTAAGACAATTCAGAATAAAACAGTGCTTGGAATTTACTTAAAACTAATGGATCTTCAAACTGGACATTATCAGTAATAAATTACTCATACATATTTAATCAAACATTTTTCCACGCAAATTAATAAAGATTGATAAATTTAAGCCATTTCTAAAATTGTTAGTAATATATACCTTATAAAATAAGTCTAAAGTTATTCAGACACATCTTCCCTGACCTCTGAAGCGCAACCAAACAAATTCAGCTTCGAAAATTACAAAAGTTGCTTGAGCAAATTAATTTTTTGCAATTAAAGTAAGATTTTTTTACGAATAATAGACCACACATACACATGGGTGGGTGGGCGGGGCCAGTATTTGCTAAGATCAGACTGATTTTGGCAAAAAACTTCTAAGAAATAAAAAGAATAATTGCGTTTCACATTATTTATTGTTATAATAAAACAAACGGGTTCAATCTCCTCATGGGGCACTTTTTTTTCTTACACTGTGACTGATATTATCTAAATTTATTCATAAAATAATTACAATTTTGCAAAATCAAAGTTTGAAGAGATTTGATGTTCTGACGACGGCTGTTTCTATTTGATTTAAACAATTTTAAGACAATTCAGAATAGAACAGTACTTTGAATTTATTTAGAACCAGTGGGTCTCCAAACTGGACATTATCAGTAATAAATTAGTCCTACATATTTAATCAAATATTTTTCCACAGAAGCTAATAAAGATTAATACATTTAAGCCGTTTTAAAATTGCTAGTAATATATGCCTCATAAAATAAGTCTAAAGTTATTCAGACACGACATCTTTGACCTCTGAAGCGCAACTAAACAAATTCAGCTTCAAAAATTACAAAATTTGCTTCAGCAAATTAATTTTTTTGCAATTAAGGTAAGATTTTTTTACGAATAATAGACCACACATACACATGGGTGGGTGGGCGGGGCCAGTATTTGCTAAGATCAGACTGATTTTGGCAAACAACTTCTAAGAAATAAAAAGAATAATTGCGTTTCACATTATTTATTGTTACAATAAAATAAACTAAGTAGCCTCATTGACGATTCATAATTTTAAAAAAGTATATCAAGAAAGCGAGCGCAGTGACTACGTTTATGAATCAGTGTGGAGATTTTACTCTTGGCATATATTTTTTTCAAAAAAAGCAAGAATACAGACCGTAATAGTCGAATGGAGTAGTATAAGCGCGTATTACTAATAACGTCAAGGTCACCGGTCCAATATCCTCATGGGGCACTTTTTTTTCTTACATTGTGACTGGTATTATCTAAATTTATTCATACAATAATTACAATTTCCGAAAATTAAAGTTTGATGAAATTTGATGTTCTGACGACGGCTGTTTCTGTTTGATTTAAACAATTTTAAGACAATTCAGAATAAAACAGTGCTTTGAATTTACTTAAAATTAGTGGATCTTCAAACTGGAGATTATCAGTACCTAGTAAATTAGTCCTAGATATTTAATCAAATCTTTTTCTACGGAAACTAATAAAGATTAATAAATTTAAGCCTTTTCTAAAATTGCTAGTAATACATACCTCATAAAATAAGTCTAAAGTTATTCAGACACAACTTCCCTGACCTCTGAAACGCAACCAAACAAATTCAGCTTCAAAAATTACAAAAGTTGCTTCAGCAAATTAATTTTTTTACGATTAAAGTAAGATTCTTTTACGAATAATAGACCACACATACACATGGGTGGGTGGGTGGGGCTAGTATTTGCTACGATAAAACTGATTTTGGCAAATAATATACACACTATAGGAAAATAAAGGGAGGGTGGGCGGGGCTGGATTTACTAAATGAAGACTGATTTTGGTTATTTTTTTAATAGCTGATTTTTATTGTTTTACTGTGTTTCATGATTATTTCAGACGCTTAAAAAGATTTAATTTTCGTTGAGGTTTTTTTGAATAATATAAAAAAATTTTACGTGTCAAATTAACTTATATTTTATTTAAAAATTCTTACTCACAGGGTATTTTAAAATTTGAATCACAGCCGAATTTTAAATGACGTTCCATTACTTAGTATTAGTAGTTTCGGGTGTTGACTTAAACCTCGCTAGTTAATTACGCTAATTTCAAGTTGGCTTTTAGTGACGAAGGTTAATGGAGTTTTGTCACAGACAATTAGTATAATATTTGATGAACTGCGTCTTTCTTGTATGTTCGTATCGTAGTTTTTTTAAAATAGATTTATGTAAAGGACCACTTCCACTGTTAAAATGTTGGCAGTTCCCACTTTTTATATCTCGAGAGCTTCATGGCTATTTTCTCGACGTTTCATGACCCCTGGAGTACGAGAAAGAAGATTTGCCGCTTCCGTTTGTCTGTCGTCTGTCTGTCATGTGTTTGTCTATGGCGACTTTTATTAGACAGATTCAGTTGTTACGTCTGGTTCACATTTTTTAAGAAATCATAAAAACAGGGTAGTTTTCCTTATTTTTAGCATAAGACTCTGGCTCACATTTTTAAAAACAGGTCATTTTCCCAATTTTTTGTGTTTTTGAAAAGTCCTCAGTGGGTTGTTTTTCCAACTCAACAAACTTCAACGACTAAAACTTGAAAATCGACTAATTTTTCTAAAAAATTGATGTTTTTATGAAAATCTGAGTTAGAAAAAAATCGTTAAAAATAAGGATGAAAAGTCAAATTCAACGTTGTTTTTGATGTTTTAGTAGAAATACCGGTTTTTGTTAAAAAAAATTCATAGAAAATAGGAAAGTGACAATGAAAACTAGGCATAATAATCTGAGTTAAAAAGTTACAAATATTAAACTTATAAAAGTGCAGTCGAAAAATTAAAAACTTTCGATTTTGCGAAGTTGTAATTGTTGTATAAGAAAATTTAAATAACATCAGTCACAGTGTAAGAAAAAAAGTGCCACATGAGGAGATTGAACCGGTGACCATAGCGGTATTAGTAGTACGCGCTTATACTACTCCATTCGACCATTACAGTGTGTTGGTTTTATGTTTATTATGACAGAATGTTATTATACAATTTGGATTTTCTTTTTTGGAAAAAGATATATGCCAAGAGTAAAAACTCTAGGCGGAGTCATAAACGTGCTCACTGCACTCGCATTCTTGATATTCTTTTTTAAAACAAAAAATCGTCAATGAAGCTATTTAAGTTTGTTTTATTATAATAATAATGTGAAGCTAAATTATTCTTTTTATTTCTTAGAGGTTATTTGGCAAAATTAGTCCGACCTGAGTAGGAACTAGTTCTGCCCACCCGCCGTTAATTTTCTCAGAGAGTATGTCATTCGCCAAAATCAGTCTAGCCCCACCCACCCTCCCTTTATTTTATTAGAGTGTATGTCATTTGCCAAAATTAGTCTTATGTTAGCAAGTACTAGCCCCGCCCACCCACCCATGCGTATGTGTGGTTTATTATTCGTAAAAGAATCTTATTTTAATCGTCAAAAAATTGTCTCCTGAAGCAACTTTAGTGATTTTTGAAGCTGAATTTGTTTGGTTGCGCTTCAGAGGCCAGGGAAGTTGTGACTGTATAAATTTAGACTTATTTTTTCAGGCATATATTGCTAGCAATTTCAGAAATGACTTAAATTTATTAATCTTTCTTAGTTTCCGAGTTAAGATATATTTTATTTTTTCATTTTGAATTGTCTTAAAGTTGTTTAAATACAAATAGAAACAGCTGTCGTCAGATCCTCAAATCTCACCTGAATTTTGGAACCGGATATTAAGAGATGCCTGCATATGCCTGGGGGCTAAAATGCTTAAAATTCTTGGTCACAAAGCTCAGTTATATACACTTGATGACATAATTATTTGAACCTCTCAAAATCGGTACACCTCAAAACATTAATATTTGGCGGTTTATTCACATTTTCGACAGAATGTCAATTTGAAAGGAAATGGAAAACTCAGTCTACATAAAAAGTGCTGTCGAAAAATTAAAAACTTTGCGAAATTGTAATTATTGTATGAAAAGATTTAGATACCACTAAAAATCTGTACGCCAAGAGTAAAAACTCTAGGCGGTTTCATAAACCACGAGTATATGAATATGTTATCATATAAAATTTTGAAGCAAAAATTTGGATCATTAGCGTAAAAACTGAAGGCTAAATCTTTAACAACAAGTATACGAGTTTGCTATTTTACAAAATTTTAATACAATTTACCACCCATAATTTCGAGGTAACGTCAAAATATTTACAAACAACGAAAATTGTTCAACTTGAATAACCCAAACAAGTTCAAGTTAGTCATCTTATCGCTTCAAAAACAAATCAGAAACTAGCTTTTGACCGGTTATAGTATTTAAAATAATGTGTAAAACCGGGAACAAAATACTTATAATTGCAAAGTCGAGCCTTGTAATTTAGAACTCCAAACCTAAAATGGCTACTTGAAACAAAATGTCTTAATTGTAGAGATAACATCACCGGAATTGCGTCAATTGCGAGTATTTGAGAAGATATGAGATCTCAACGTATAAATCCATCTTCAACCACTAGAACCCCTCTAGAACCGACGCAAAATCTTTATCTAATTGTGTTCAAGGGGCAATAATTTTAAGTAAAAGTGCGAGATATAATCTAGATTCAACACATATCGAAAAACAGTCGCTAGATGCTAAGATTAAATGTTTAAGCTTACTATATCTTATCGACAACATATTTGTAATGGATTTTGTGTGTCAAAGTGTTTGTCGTACAACCAAACCCCTGATAAGTTGTCATATAAAAACACACCTTCCATCTGTAATGATCATACCTGTTAATAATGATTCACAAAACAGAAATAGTCATGTCAAACATACGTATTGGAAATGACAAAAGCATTTTGGCCAAATCGAACGCACCATTATTTATTTAAGATTGTAGACACAATCTAGTTTGATTTATCTGGAAAACCATAAACCGTGATTCTTGCTACCTGTTGCATCATTTGTCAGAAAAAAATATATCTAAAGTACCTGTGCCAATATCATACAGTTCAAACGATTAATCATGTGTTTTGCAACATAATTGCGAAATACGAATAGCTCAAAATAGAACAAGTTCGTCTCTTTGCATATACTTACTTCTAATTCACAAAAGTTAAAAAAAAAGCGAATAATAATTTTATTTCTCTGGATACCCAGCGTCCACACTGAACATTATGTAAGTCAACAGAAACCGCTGTTTACCTATTTATTACACAACATTACATAAAATTACGATTTCCCCAACATTATTTTTTTAAATAATACAATAAATTAAGTAAATAAATAATTGCTGAAAATGCATCCGTTGTAATTGCAAAATGTCCATTATTGACACAACCGACGAGGCTTTAGATACCTACGTATAAATACAGCTGATTGATTAAATTTAATGGAGACTGTATATAGCGACAGCACTTCAAACATCCTTCCACTATAGCTAGACGTCCTACAGATTGGCTGGGAATAACGAGAAGACGCGTTAGACGAACACGTGCCATCAATTTATTTTTATTTAGTGTGTGAAATCAGTGCCAAGTAAGTCCCTCTTTTTTTATTATTTGTGTCTTTGTTTACGTTCTGGGCGGGTATTTGTTAGTACTTAAGTCTATCACACGATTAGTCTCAGTAATGAGACTGTCATAAGAAAAGTGGAAGATTTAGTAATCGTTTGCGGTTGGGTTAGCTCACAATTTATTCTTTATGATTGTTCACGATTTTTGTCTGTAAAGTCGTACTTAAGCTATTAACGATAATTTAATTTTACAATTTAACTACTATTATTTCTTGTTTGATTTAATACTGCGCTTTTAAAGTGGTGCACTATGCTCGCTATAGTTCCTACTGTGTTAATACGTTGTGTCAATACAAAACAAATATTGTATTTAATGCGGTTAATTATACAATAATTGTGAAAACTATTTTAGCCGTTGTGACGCATTTTGCTTTTTTAATTTAAAAAATTTTCTCGTGTCGTATAAACTTAGAAAAACATGATTATTAATAATGATGTAATGACCCGTAGGTTAATAGGTAGTTAAATCAATATTTGTCATTTATTAAAAGAGGTTCCATTTTCAATAAATGTTTTTTTTGTTTTGTGACAGCGCAAATACTGGCGTATTTAAATTTAAATAAGTCTGTCGCCAAAGTACACCAGACGGCTGTTTACACAATTTTAAATATAGTACTTGAAGTATTCTGCATCACGTTTGAGCATTTTTTATTATAGATAAATATGATAGCGGATGTGTTAAACTAATTACACGGTTTAATAACTGCTTTGTTATTTTAAAACGTATTAAAAACATCAAATCAAATAATTAGGCTATAAATATGTATAATAAATTAAAATAAAATTTCATGTTTGTCATTTTTGAGTTGGGTAATAGGTACTTTACCACAATGGTGCGGGAATATTAGATTACCGCACTCATTTTTAACGCAACATTTTTCATTTACTTAGATTTATTTATTACAGACATTTTTATCACACTCATGTGATTTTGTAACTCTTTTTGAGCAAATTTAACACTCGTATGGTATATACATTTTTTTTGTCATAACTAAATAATTGTTAAGCACATTCTTTTACAACTTTGATCAGAACAGGAAAACTCACTAGAAACATAAGCACAGTCGTACACTTTCCTAGTGCATTCATACGTCGGCGCAATTGTTAATCGAATCTTATTGGTTGTTTCTTATGTTATTATGTTATTCTTCCAGAATTGTAGTGACAGAAGAAGTTGATTACAATTTTGTTTAAAAAACATATACTTTAAATGTTAAAATAGCTCGTAATAAATTTAATGGCGTAAAAACGGCTTGACTCTAGGTGACGATTATTATTATTATTACACCTAGCGACCTTCAAGCCATCAGGTAGATTGTCTGGCATTGACGAGAAATAAAAAGACGATTATTTATCTGAGTTTAGCAGTGGCTTGTTATCAGTGAATCAACTTTTGCAGACGGTAAATTGATTTGTTCTAAATTCTGAAGTAGAAAAGAGTACACACACGGTTATCACTTATCATATCAGCCACACCCTTGGCAATCATTCGCAAATATTATAAAAAATAAGGGTTTTCAAATTGACCCTTGTCGCATTACACTGGGATGCGTTCACTAATTCGATTTGTATCCATTTTTCACTCAATTAATTTTTAAACGTGTTAGAAGTTTTGTTGGGTTCTATAAAATTGATAAGGTATTATTATTGAGGTTAAGTCCAATTAAATCGCTACTATAAAGTTACTGTAGGTTATGGTTGTAAACTTTTACGAATTACGTATGTACTCTCTACCTATAAAGATCTTTGATATATCTTTTTTGTGTAAACTTAATTTTCCTGAGTTTAAAAAAAACATCACGTTATAAATTTATTCCTTGATGTAAGGAACTTACAAGAAAGAAGAAAATTTTTCGTTTCTCAACATCTGGACTATATTTTTCTATATATTTTTTGTAACTCGTTAGTATTTGTACAGGAAAAAATATTAAAATTCTCAATTTCTCAGTATATGCTTAACTTCGACTGTTTATGTTTATACTTCGACCGAATTCGGCTTTTAGCACGTTTAGATTACAAGCATCAGCAGTTAAAAGAAAATGAAGTTTGGCTGATTTTGTGTCCTCAACGCAGAGGAAAGGATACAAAATCTTAAAATATCTTCATCATTTCACAGCATTCGGTTTTTGCAGTTTCAAATTTAAAACGTGTGGAACGTACATTTGCTTTTCCAATTTTAAGGTTAAATTGTAACATACAATTTTGAATGTTTTCCCAAAAATCTGGATGACTAGGGGAAAACTTTTTTACCCCACATTTTGTTTTTTAATTTATTATAAAGGACTTCGTTCGTAAAGGGATGCTTTCGCTTCATAAATAATGTATTAAAGTAGTTCGTTAACGTTCATTTATACAGGGTGAGACACTAAGCGCTGTCCTCGATATTTCATTAATTATCAAAGATACAAAACAACGTCAAAAACCAAAGTTGGACGGTTTTTTGAGGACTTTATTCTATTTTTTTTTTTAATTATAGAAAGTGCTCTATTTAGGTTCTTCATAGGCTTTATCACCATAGTTTATTTTTGAAATTCTGTTGCAACGTTGCCACGTTATTTCAGTTTTCCTGAATTGTTAGGGTTCACAAAGAAAAACGCAGGAGGGTCATTTTAAATTCCATGTTACAATATTTTGTGAAGGAATAAATGAAGGTATATCGTCAATTGCAGTATCAACTACACCAAATTTTAATATAATACAGCATGTTCACAGAAAAATTTAAAATCTGTACGATTTTCAAACATCGATATTTCAACACTTCGATGGTGACTGAAATCCATCTTTTATTTTTGTTAGGACAATAACCATGAAAACCAGTAGTCATTAGTCGTTATTCGTTATTATTAATAAAAAAGCTGTTATTTTTCATTAATAAATAAACCAAAAAAAAACATTTAATAAGACATAATATTTCCAAATTTGGATCATTTTTTGTAAAAGTTAGTCATCAGTACTTGCTAAGACTAAATTGATTCTGGCAAATGACATACTCTTTAAGAAAAGAGAGAGTGGCTGGGCGTAGCTAGTAGCTGATAAGAGAAAGCTGATTTTGGGAAATGAGATACTCTCTAGGAAAAGAGATGGCGGGTGGGCGGGGCTAGTACCTGCTAAGTTAAAACTGATTTTGGCAAATGAGATACCCTCTAAGAAAAGAGAGGGTGGGTGGGCGGGGCTAACACCTGCTAATATAAGTTCGATTTTGACAAATTACATTACTTGTAAGAAATTTAATTAAATTATTATAAGAATAGACAATTCAGGCTCTAAAGCACTTTCAAATTTTTTCCAAATAGGAATACCTAGAACCTCAAGATTGTTTTAAATAAAAAAAAAATGGGTCCCAAAATTAACTCAAAAATAGGTCAGGTCGGAGCCTTATCGTAGCAGGTACTAGCCCCGCCCATCCACCCTCTCTTTACTTAGAGTGTATGTCATTTGCCAAAATCAGCAAGTACTCATGACTAACTTTTACAAAAAATGATCAAAATTTGGAAATATTACGAGCTTAATTATATGCATAAAACTAGAATTTTGAACATCTCTAGTGTTTAGTTGGTTATGTTTTAATGGATTTTTCTTAGCTATTACCTGCTAAGATTAGAGTGATTTTGGCAAATGACATACCTTCTAAAAAAAGAGAGGGTGGGTGGGCGGGGCTAGTACCTACTAAGATAAAAGTGATTTTGGCAGATGACATACCCTCTAAGAAAAGAGAGGGTGGGTGGGCGGGGCTAGTACTTGCTAAGATAAGACTGATTTTGGCTTATGAGATACCCTCTAAGAAAAGAGAGGGCGGGTGGGTGGAGCTAGTACCTGATAAGACTAATTTTAGCAAATGACATATCTTGTAAGAAATTTAATTAAATTATTATAAGAATAGACAATTGAGGGTATAAAGCACTTTCAAATTCTTTCCAAACAGGAATACCTAGAACTTCAAGATTGTTTTAAATAAAAAAAAGGGTCCCAAAATTAACTCAAAAATAGGTCAGGTCAGAGTCATATCGTAGCAGGTACTAGAGTCGCCCACCCACCCTCTCTTCTCTTAGAGGGTATGTTATTTGCCAAAATCACTCTAATCTTAATAGGTACTAGCCCCGCCCACCCACCCTCTCTTTTCTTAGAAGTTATGTCATTTGCCAAAATCACTCTTATCTTAGCAGGTACTAGCCCCGCCCACCCACCCTCTCTTTACTTAGAGTGTATGTCATTTGCCAAAATCAGCAAGTACTCATGACTAACTTTTACAAAAAATGATCAAAATTTGGAAATATTACGAGCTTAGTTATATGCACTGAACAAGAATTTTGAACATCTCTAGTGTTTAGTTGGTTATGTTTTAATGGATTTTTCTTAGCTACTACCTGTTAAGATAAAACTGATTTTGGAAAATGAGATACTCTTTAAGAAAAGAGAGGGTGGGTGGGCGGGGCTAGCACCTGCTAAGGTAAGACTTATTATACTGCTATTTGAAAACTAACATTTTTGTAGACATACGAAGATTCAATTTGATTTATACCACAATAAAGCGCGTGCCTTTATTTATTTCTCCACAAAATATTGTAACACAAATTTTAAAAATAATCTCATTGTGAATTTTTTTGTGCACTTTCCATTAAAAAAAAATTGAAGAAAATCGGAGTATCGTGGCAACCTCGCATCGGAACTTCAAAAGTAAACTATAGTTGTACAGTCTCTAACAAGAAGTCAAGGAAACTGAAATTTCATTATTTTGTGTTATCAACCCAAAGGAGAAGACCAATTAGTTAATTAAGCACATTCGGTTTTTTTCTAAAAAATATAGCAGGAATAGTACTTATAAGAAACTAAAAAAAATCACGAAAATTTGGATGCCTCTGGTAAAATTTTAGTTAATGTTATTCGGACAGACGGCAGACAGACAGACCAAAACGGGAAACCCATTTTTTAGGGTCATGAAAGATTACTATACTTCCTTCCAAGTGTATATTTGGTTGCATAATTGTATTTATATTTTTTAATTTTTAAAAATTTTGATCATCGAAAAAATACTGTAACAAACCCGTTGTTTGTTAAGTATCATTAAAAAAGCCTTCATTAACCAACTTGTTCGCTAAATAACTATAACGTGTTCTTTAATGGATAAAAATAAAAAAAAATATATAAACAGCGAATTTAGCTGCAACAATCGTAACAGTTTAAAAAAGAGATTTAAAAGCAAAAACGAACAAAATGCGGTAATGCGATAATAATCATAGTTATTACTTAGACGGCAAAAATTAACAATGAAAAGGAGTAAGTAATTGTTGTTACCGGAAAAAATTGGTGTCTAAGTGAGTAGTGTATTCTGACAAAAAACGACTTAGTTTGTAGCAATATATTGTAAAACCTTTTTTTATTTATGTTTGCCTTTTTGCTTTATTTACACGTATAAGCATTTTAAAAACTAAAATAGAACTTCAAATGTGACTTTGGATTTTATCTATACATTATAATATAGTTATTGTTCCCCTTGCTTTATCAATACGTGACAAAATCCAGAGATATATACGACAGAATAAAGTGGTTTAAACATTACGATAAATATAACTGATTTACCTGAACACGGTCATATTTTTACTTAGTTGTACTACATTTTCAGCACCATGGGAGTTCTATATAGTACTTATTACTACTACACAACCAGGACAGATGACCCAGACCCCACCACCACACTAACATCCAGAGAAGTATACTTAGTCCAGTCCTCATGGGCCCCAATGAAGAGAGACCTAACAGCCAACGGCGTCAAACTCCTCCTCTTGTAACTTAATTAACACCAACACTGACCACTTAAAGACCACCAAATTTTCTAGCTTGTTCGAGAAATTTCCAGAAGAACAGCAACACTTCCCCTTTAGAGACATACCATTTGAAGAACTTGGCGCAAGCAAAAAATTCCACGCTCATTGCAGCAACGTGATGTACTCAGTAGACTCAATAATCGACAGTTTGGGAGACGCCGAACTCCTTGTCAACATTTTGCAAAAAATTGGAAGGAATCATCACAGAAATTACGTGAAGCCTATTTCGTTTTGGGTAAGAGAGACGACTAGATGGTTGCAATAGTACTTTTATTTTATTTTTAGCATGTGAAAGAAACTATGTTGGAACTTTTCTCAACATATATGAGTCAAGAAACAATTGCTGCTTGGGATAAGTCGTTGCAGGTCGCTTTTGGAGTGGTGGGGGCAGAATTAGACAAGAAGCATTAGATAATTGTGTAATTTATTGTATTGTGTCTATGTTAGTAGATTTGTTACTTTTTTAAAAGTGTGACTAATATTAGGTATTAATCGCTGTACCTACTTGTATAGTATGTGTTAATGTTAATGACGAGTTGTGTTATGTTTATAGAACGAAATGGGCTATAAAAGCTTGTTGATACAATATTGTCTTCATTATTTCAAGGCGAAGTACGAGAAGCTTTTTGTTGTGGTAGTCTTAAAATAGTGAAACGGCATTCCTTGATGGACTACTTCGTCTATGCGAGACTTTTGTCTTAAAATATCCTCCAGAAATGTATGCAACAAAGATTTTGTTTCACACATTGTTAAGTTACAGATTTCAGTTCACTTTAGTACAGCGCCATCTTTTGAGTGACGTTCTAAGCGCACAACTGGCCAGAAATTCGATCTACACACTCAAGTAGAAAGATTCAACCTCCACACACCAGAGTCGCACAACCCCACTCTTCCTCTTCCACCAATAAAAACCCTTTACTTAACTAAGTTTTATTAAGTACAAAACTACTCGAATACATGTATCCGCGTCATGACTTATTTCAACTCACAGCATTATTGAACTTAACTTACACTCTAACATAAATATTTGGTGAATATTGATATGTACACAGATGCCCTTTATTTACATCGTTGTTGAGGCAACCACTCAAAGACATGACTTAAAAACAAGCACACACGTTAATATCACTGTGGCGAAATTCGATTTGATCGAAACTGAGGACGAGGGCGACCGTTTCAGCTTGAAACTGCACTGAACTTGATTATCGTCCGAATAAACAGTAAAGTTCGGGAATTGGACGATACTCTCTTTCTGGAACAAGAAATAAAAAATATTGGGCTATAAAAATAAGACGGCGGCACTCACAATAGCGAGGGAGTCGTCCCGCTTCCTGCAGAACGTCAGATGCAAACCCGTGTAAAAATACTCCTCCATTTTCTTGGTAATGAGGGTTTCGTTGTAGGGTATGTCTTGTAGATGGTCCATGAAAGTCTTATTCCGGAACTCCTCGGGATCTTCGATTACGAGTTTGTCGAACATGGTTTGTCCGGCGTGACTTTCACCTTCAATGGTATAATCTTTGGCATTTTGGAGGGCTATGATGGCCCGTCGGTTGGCTTCGGGAGACATCTCGTCGCCGGGTTTGTAGGGGAAGAGGGGCTTGGTGGGGGTGGATGGGGAGACGGGGTGGACTTCCGTGCTGCTAGGAAAAGAAAACAGATTTATTGGAATATTAGAAATGAATCAATCATACTTACTCTCCATGCAAGAAAATATCCTCGATTTGAGCCATACTTTTTCCGTAGAACTTCTTGACTCCTAAAGTCTCGAAGAAGTATTTTATGGGTGACATGGAGTAACACCCGGCGAGTTCGGTGCGTGGATAGTGTAAAATGAATGCTAAACACATTTCTTCTTTCGTGGAATATCCGCCTAGAGTGGGTTTGTTACGTCTGAGGGTCGAGTAGGTACATTCTGTTACTAATGCATCTCCTGGCAAGATTATGACGTCTTGTGATAAAGCTCGAGACTGTTGGTAGTTAAAGTCGTAGTGATCATCCTGTAAAAAACACGTTCAAGTTGATAATTTTAGTGTTTAATAAAAAATGTAGAGGGTTAATGTTGATCTTCAAGTTTTGAGTCACCCTGTATAAGCAAATCCAAAAAATAAGAATGGAATGATAAATAACACGTACAGACTCATCATGTTTTCTACATTTTAGATAGGATTTATTCGGCAAAATTTTGAGATGACGTAATCAATTTTTTGGAGGGGATAAGTAAGTATATTTTGATTAAAAATCTATCATGACTATCATAACCTTAAAACATCTACAAGATTTCAAAGCATTCGGTTTTGTAGATTCTAAATTAAATTGCAAAATGTTTCATAATTTTGATTTGTTTTCCAAAACTCTGGACGTTTCGGGTAAAAACTCAACACGGAGTCATAAACTACATGTGTTAAAATTTGACAACAATCGGCACAGTACTTTTGGAGATTATCTGTCTAATAAAAATCCGTGACGGCAGACCGACAGACGGATAAACAGAGAGACGAACAGATAGACAGACAAACGGACAGACAGACAGGCAGACAGACAGACAGACGGAAAAGGGAGACCTATTTCTTCGTACTGTAGGGGTCATGAAAGGTCGAGAAAACGTAAAAGTAGGGAGTCGGCCATCGGTCTCGCTTACAATACTACTTACGCTCTGGAAGTAAAAACTGAAAAATTGAAAACTATGTATTTCCAAATATCGACAAGCTGAAAAATTGAGAAATCGAAAATTGAAATATCAAAAAAATCGAGAAATCGAAAAACTGACAACCCATTGAAAAATCTTTCAAATAAAAAAATGAAAAATATAAATTTCCAGCATTTTAAAAATCGAAAAATGAGAAACTGAAAAATCTAAAAACGAGAAGTCTGAATGATCGATAAATCGAAACATGAAAAATCGAAACTGAAAAAACGAAAACTGAGAAATCGAATTGGCCCAAAATCGAAAAATCTAAAAGCAAGAAATCAAAAAATCGAAAGATGGAGAAATCGAACCATGAACAACTGAAACATCTAAAATTTACAAATTCGAAAAATTGAAAAATAGAAAAAAAAAGAAAAACTGAAAAACCGAAATTCGAAAAATCGAAAAATTGAAAAGTCCATACATCGAAAAATTCCCAATATTGAAATACTGAAAAATTGAGAAATCCAAAAATTGCAAAAGATAAAAATTTTAAAAATCGAAAAACCAAGATGTCGAGAAATCGGAATATCAAAAAATCGCAAAACTGAAAAATCAAAACACGTAAAATTTAAAAAATCGTAAAATTGAAAAATATCTACAAATATCGAAGAACTGAAAAATTGGGAAAGCGAAATTTCTAGAATTGAAAAAAACTGAAAAACCAAAGTATCGAAAAATCGAAGAATCGAAAAATTGAGAAATCGAAACATTAAAATATCGAAAAACTGAAAGATCTAAAACTGCAAAATTAACAAAAATTAACAAATTAAAAAAAACCGAAAACTCAAAAAACCGAGAAATCGAAACAGGAAAAACTGAAACACTGAGAAATCGAAACATCAAAAGATCGAGAAATTCGAAAAATTGAAAAGCGAAAATTGGAAAAATTGAGAAATAAAAATGCAACGTCCGTTAGTTATAAATTTCGACATTTGAAAATTATAAAGTACGACGTCAAAATTACACAGGACGGTGTTTATGTATGTATGCAACACCGAAAAATCAAAACATCGAAAAATTGAAATAGCCCAAAATCGGAAAATCCAAAAGTTAAATATTGACAAACTCAAGAATTAAAAAAAATTGATAAGTCGAAAAATTGAAATTTCGAACATTTTAAAAATCGAAAAATGAGAACCTGAAAAATCTAAAATTGAAAAGTAGAAAAATTGAAAGATCGAGAAATTGAAATATGAAAACCCGATACCAAGAAAACGAAAATTGAGAATCGAAAAGTTAAAAACAGAATAATTTTAAATAAATAAAAAAAGTTAAAAATCGAAAAATTGTAAAATCGAAATATCGAAAATTTTATTGAACTGAAAAAAGGAAAAATCTAAAACCGAGAGGTCAAATAATCGAAAGATCCAGAAATCGAACCAAAAAGAGAAAAACCGAAAAACTGAAATTTGAAAAGTCGAAAAATTGAAAAGTCCATACATCGAAAAATTCCCAATATTGAAATATTGAAAAATTGAGAAATCCAAAAATCGCAAAAGATAAAATTTTAAAAATCGAAAAACCAAGATGTCAAGAAATCGGAATATCAAAAAATCGCATAACTGGAAAATTGAAAAATCAAAACATGTAAAATTTAAAAAATCGTAAAATTGAAAAATATCTACAAATATCGAAGAACTGAAAAATTGGGAAATGGAAATTTCTAGAATTGAAAAAAACTGAAAAACCAAAGTATCGAAAAATCGAAGAATCGAAAAATTGAAAAATCGAAACATTGAAGTAGGGAGAAACTGAAAAATTTAAAATTGCAAATAGAAAAATTAAAAAATCGAAAATTCAAAAAATCGAGAAATCGAAACAGGAAAAATTGAAACATTGAGAAATCGAAATATCAAAAGATCGAGAAATTCGAACAATTGAGAAGCGAAAATTCGAAAAATTGAGAAATAAAAATGCAACGTCCGTTAGTTATAAAGTTCGACGTTTAAAAATTATAAAGTACGACGCCAAAATTTATAAAGTACGGTGTTTATGTAAGTAAAACCAAGAAATCAAAACATCGAAAAATTGAAAGATCGAGATCGAAAAGTCGAGAAGCCGACAAATCGAAAAAGTCCAAAATCGAAAAATCGAAAAGTTAAAAATTGACAAACTCAAGAATTTAAAATTAAAAAAAAATTAATAAACTGAAAAATTGAAAAACTGAAAAGTCAAAAAACTGGCAACACATTGAAAAATTTTTCAAACAAAAAATTGAAAAATCGAAATTTCGAACATTTTAAAAATCGACAAATTAGAAACTGAAAAATCTTAACCTGAAAATCGAAAAACTGAAAGATCGAGAAATCGAAACATGAAAAAACGATAATTGAGAATCGAATTGGCCCAAAATCGAAAATTTAAAATTGACGAAGTGAATAGTTTTAAATAAAAGAAGAATCCAAAAATTTTAAAATCGAAATATCGAAAAAATTTTTGAACTGGGAAACTGAAAAATCTAAAACCGAGAAGTCAAATAATCGAAAGTTCCCGAAACTGAACCATGAAAAACTGGGACAACTAAATTTTAAAAATTCGAAAAATCGGGAAATCGATAAATAGAAATTCGAAATCCGAAAAGCCGAAAATTAAAAACTCCATAAATCGAAAAACATTGAAATCCAAAAATCGCAAAAGACAAAAAATTTTAAAAATCGAAAACCAAGATGTCAAAAAATCGAAATATCAAAAAATCGTAAAATTGAAAAATTGAAAATTTAAGAAATAAAAAATGTAAAATTTAAAAATCGAAACATCTAAAATTTAAAAAACTGAAAAATTAAAATATCGAAAAACTGAAAAATCTAAAATTTAAAAATTGAAAAATTAAAAAATCAAAAAGTCAAAAAACCGAGCCATCCATAAATGAAAAATCGAAACCGAAAAAACCAAAATTGAGAAATCGAAAAGTTAAAAACTGACAAACTGAATAAGTTTAATTTAAAAAAAATCGACAAATCTAAAAATCGAAAAATTGTAAAATCTAAATACCGAAAATTTTATTGATTTGAAAGACTGAAAAATCTAAAAGCGAGAAGTCTAAAAATCGAAAGATCGAAAAATCGAACCATGAAAAACTGAAACATCTAAAATTTACAAATTCGAAAAATTGAAAGATCGAAAATTGTCAAATAATCGAAAGAGCCCGAAATCGAACCATGAAATACTGGGACATCTAAATTTTACAAATTCGAAAAATCGGGAAATCGATAAATCGAAATTCGAAATCCGAAAAGTCGAAAAATTAAAAATGAAAAATTCCCAACATTGAAATCCAAAAATCGAGAAAGACAAAAAATTAAAAAAATCGAAAAACCAAGATGTCAAAAAATCGAAATATCAAAAAAAAAAATTGAAAAATATCTACAAATATCGAAGAACTGAAGAATTGAGAAACCGAAAAATCTAAAAATTAAAAAATTGAAAAATTAAAATATCGGAAAACTGAAAAATCTAAAATTTAAAAATAGAAAAAATAAAAAGTCAAAAAACTGAGAAATCTACACATGAAAAATTTAAACATTGAAAAATCGAAACCTTAATAGACCGAGAAGTCAAAAGTTTAAAAAGGAAAAATTCGAAAAATTGGGAAACTGAAAAATCTAAAACTGAGAAGTCGAAAATTGAAAGTTGAGAAATCGAAACATGAAAAACCGAAACCGAAGAAACGAAAAGTGAGGAATCGAAATGGGCCAAAATCGAAAAAACGAAAAGTTAAAAACTGACAAATTGAATAATTTCAAATTAAAAAATATCGGTATATCGAAAAATTGTAAAATCGTAATATCGAGAATTCGAAACATCCAAAGGTGTAGATCGAAAATTCGAGAAGCCGACAAATCGAATTAGACCAAAATCGGAAAATTGAAAAGTTAAAAATTGACAAACTCAAAAATTTTAAATTAAAAAATCCATAAATCGAAAAACTGAAACATGAAAAAATTGCAAGGAATAAATCGAAAAATCGGAAAGTTGAAAATTGACGAACTGATTAATTTTAAATAAAAAAAATCGATAAATCGAAGAATCCAAAAAATTGTAAAATAGAAATATCAAAAATGTTATTGACTTGGAAAACTTAAAAATCTATAACAGAGACGGCAAAAAATCGAAAGATCGAGAAATCGAACCATGAAAAACTGAGATCCCTAAGTTTACAAATTCAAAAAATCGAAAAATTAAAAAAACGTAATCCGAAAAATCGAAAGATCGACAATTGAAAAGTCCTATAAATCAAAAAATTCCCAACATTGAAAAATTGTGAAATTTAAGGCTTGAAAAATCGAGAATTCGAAACATCCGGAAAGTTTCGAAAAGTCGAGAAGGCGACAAATCGAAACATTGAAATATATTAAAATCGGAATATCGAAAAGTTAAAAATTGACAAATTCAAAAATTTAAAATAAAAAAAAATCGAAAAATTGAAATAATAAAATATTGAAAAATTAAGAAATCAAAAAACTTACAACACATCGAAAAATTTTTCAAAATTTCGAGCATATTAAAAATCGAAAAATGGGAAACTAACAAACTAAAACCGAGAAGTCGAAAAATTGAAAGATCGAGTCATTGAACCATGAAAAACTAAAACATCTAAGATTTATAATTTCGAAATGAAAAAATTGAAAAATCGAGAGATCGAAAAATGAAAAGACCATAAGTCGAAAAATTGAGCAATCTAAGACTTGAAAAATCGAGAAATCCAAAAACCGAAAAAGACAAAAAAATTCTAAAAATCGAAAAACCAAGATGTCAAGAAATCGAAAGTTCAAAAAATCATATAATTGGAAAATTGAAAAATCAAAAAATGTAAACTTTAAAAAATAGAAAAATTGAAAAATATCTACAAATATCGAAGAACTGAAAATTTAACGAATCGAAAAATTGAGAAATCGAAACATTAAAATATGAAAAAACTGAAAAATCTAAAATTTGAAAATAGAAAAATAAAAAAATCGGAAAGTCAAACAACCGAGAAATCGAGACATCAAATGATAGAGAAATCAAAAGTTAGGAGCAAAAAATTCGAAAAATTGAGAAATAAAAATACAGCGTCCGTCGTTTATAAAGTTCGACGTTTAAAAATAGTTAAGTACCACGCTGAAAATTTATAAACCACGGCGTTGGAAATTTGTGAAGTAGGTACTTCACAAATTTCGACGAGGTCGTCGGTCGTTTATAAACCACGTTGTTCAACATTTAACTAAATTAATACAAAATTTGTGAGTCTAAAATAGAAAACGAAGGCGGATTCATAAATTACAAGTACAGAGGTATCTTATTTTGAAATTTATAGAAAATTTTGAGATGACATTGGTAAATGAGTGAGTGAATGGTGGAGATAACTAGATAAATTCTGGCTAGTGTTCTACCATCTATCTACGTGATATGTATTCTTAAAATATATGTAAACAGACAATGGACAGAGAGACGGACACGGGCAATCTATCTTTTTCATAATCTAGAAAGTAGGCGTTCCCGCAAACTTCCCAGCGGAAGTAAAAACACTCTCTTTAATGGATAGTATTTTTGAGCAAAGTTAATTTTGATTTCTAGCGTTTCTGCCTCTTAGAACTTTCGATAGGGGATTACAAGAAGTAAATTAATGGAGCTCTGGATTAAAAAAACTGGAAGAACTTTGTAAAAGACAAAAAATGTTCTGGAATTTGGTATAAAAGTGAACCCGAAGAGAGGAATTAAAGTGAATTGAAAAGCGTTTTAGAAAATTTATATTTGAAAATAGAAGACACAAAGCGATTTCCACTCAAACACAAAAATTGAAGTTGAAGAAAACAGATAATAATTATTGGCGAAATTTTTATCCGGGAAAATTGAGATCAACTATTGAAGGCTGACAAAGAACCTTCTTGCCAAGTTGCCATTGATAGTAACTTTGATGTTCAACTGTTGCAGTATTTAAAGGGGTTGTAGAAGAAAAGTGGAGGATTTAACTAGATTACTACAAAAATTTACCATTTCAGACATGTTTTAAGTTTCTTGTTTTCGAAATAAGTCTACACATATTAAGAAAAAAGGCAAAATGTAGCCCCGCCCACCCGCCCTATCTCAATTGTGATGATTTTTTTTTTATTCGTCGTGAACCAAGAAGGCGGAGCTTAACTGCAAAATCCTTATTTCTCTACGAGAAATTAAAAACATGAGTGTTCGAGAGCTTATTTAATGGGTTAAAACACCATTTTGCTACCTATAAATGCATAACCGTTGGTCCTTACCTGCGCCAATGGCGGCAGCTCCTTCCCCCCACGAACATGCCTCAACTTCAACTTCCTCCCAGCCAAATGCGAATGCAACATTACCGACACCACATGAATCCCATCTTTGGGAAACGTGGCTTTGGTACAATCCGTGGTACAGTACCCAGCAGTCTTATACTCCTTCTGATACGGAGGAATAAAATGCAAACTCGACAAAGCAATCCCCGTCGGAAGAATCCCCCCTTCATTGTCCCTCAATTCACTAGTATAGTGCAACCTCAGACCAGAAGAATCACGCACTTGCTTCATCGAAGGATTATCGAAGTGCACTTCCAGCATATAAAACGCCTTCTTCCTATGCGCTAGCGGCAGCCCAACATGCGGAGGAAGATTTTCCCCCTTGGACCCAATAGCCCACGCCACCAACGGAGTCAGACACTTCTCCCACTCTGGAGGCATATTCGCCCCATAACACAGCACGCCATCTTGCTTGGAGTAGTGATCCCACGTGGAGTAGTCCTCCTTGTCGTTGAGTTCGCACTCGTGGAGGATCATGTGGTGGACGAGATCCGAGTGGTTCTTGCCCAACAGGGGCTCGTAGCCGATGATGTGGTGCTTGTGCTGGAGGGTTGGCGCTTTGAAGATTTTGCACCAGTACATGGTGTTCATGTTGCTGATGGTTTCCAGCTGGAAAAGAAGTGCGTCAAGGTTATTGAACGGTTATAAGCTTGTTGTGGCACAAAATGGCGAATTATTGGTGCGGCGAGAAGAATCAAACTTGTATTGTGAAAGCTGAGATGACATAAAGTAGAGTTTAACCTCGCGTATAAGAGTACGTGATGGGAATTCGCCGGGTGTCTAAATTTAGTTTCCGGTGGTAATATACAGATTTAGTGTTTTCGTGAATGGATGTGCAACTCGTGTTGTATTTTAAATATGCATGGTCTTGAAGACAAATAGTAGTTGAAAAGTGTTGACAAATCTCTTGATGTAGTTTCGTCGCGTGATATTGCAAGAGTAAACACTCAGATTTCCTTTTATCGGAATAAATTCGAGTAAATAGTTTGGTTCGCTGATGTAGAACAGAATAGGAAAATCTCTGAACTACAAAACAATAATCGGATTAGTTTGATAATAAGCTGGAAAGTGTGCATTCAGAGGGTTGAATATCTTTTGTATATTTGCTCTTGTGGAACAGCAGGTTAGTTAGTGGGAATTTTAGTAATACTCCTCTGAAGTGGGAAATTATTCTCAAACTGGAGCCGTTTACATAACAAAGTCTTTATACACAGAACTTTTACAAAGGACTCAAACTGTTATGTTAAAAAGTCGTGTTGTGTTTTCATTATGAGTTTTTATTGGTTTAAACTTATACTGTATGCTACATTGTTGCATTATTGAATGTACACTGAGCAAAAAATACTTCCCTTACTCCAAATTTTTTATATACTTCTAAATGAAGTAAAATTTCGGTCTTTCAGAAACCGATTTTAAACTACTTCAAAAGATTCTTTCAAATTACTTCAAAAACCAATATTCAGAGATCCCCCAGACTCTTTCAAATCATTTCAAAAACAAAATAAAAAGGGTTCTCGGGATTCTTTTAAATTACCTCAAACATTAGACGAAGTGTCTCTAAGATTCTTTCAAACTACTTCAAAAGCAAAACAAGAGGGATTCGTGAGATTCTTTTAAACTACTTCAAAAACAAAACACAATGGGTCCCCGAGATTCTTTCAAATTACTTCAAAAATGAAACACAAGGGATCCCAGAGTTTCTTTCATTACTTACTTGTTTGCCAGGATCAATGTCAAGTGTAATATACTATTTTTAAAAAATTGTCAAAATTGAAAAAATCTTTTTCGAAAAATCAAAAAAATCGCAATATTCAGAAATCGAACAATCGAACAATTAAAACATCAAAATATCGATAATTCGAGATTTTGAGAAATCAAAAAATTGAAAAACCGAAAAATCGATATGCGAAAGTCCACAAATTGAAAGATCGAAAAATTGACAAATCCAGAACATGAAAAATTTCTAACAGTGCAATGTTATAAAAATTAGAATACCTAAAATTTGAAAATGGAGAAATCTAAAAGTTTTAAAAATCGAAAAATTGAAAAATTAAAAATTGAAAAATTCGAGAAATTGAAAAATAAAACAGCAACAAATTGAAGAACCGAAAAATTGAAAAATCGAGAAACCGAATCCAAAAAATCGAAAAATTGAAAAATCAAAAATTTTAAAATAGAAAAATCGAAAGCTGGAAAAGAAAAAACCGAGAAAATGAAATATCGCGAAGTTGAAAAAAATTGAAAAATTGAAGATCGGAAAATTAAAAATCGAGAATTCAAAACATCGAAAGATCTAGAAATCGCAAAGTCGAGAAACCCACAAATCGAAAAATCGAAATTGTCAAAATCGGAAAATTGAAAGGTTAAAAATTGACACTGGAAAGTTAAAAATTAAAAAAATCAATAAAATGAAAAGTTGAAAAATCAAAAAACTGACAACACAAAAAAAGTGAAAGATCGAAAAATCTAAACATGAAAAACAGAAACCGAAAAAGGAAAATTGAAAAACCGAAATGGCCCGAAATCGATAAATCGAAATATCTAAAATTTTATTGAAACAGTGGAAAATGTAAAAATGGAAGTCAAAAAATCGAAATATAAAAAATTGAAAAATCTAAAATTTACAAATTCGAAAAATTGAAAAATCGAAAAATCGAAATCCAAAAAACTGACAAATCGAAAGAACGAAAAATTTAAAAGTCCATAAATTCCCAACATGGAAATTTGGAAAAATTGAGAAATCTAAGACTTCAAAAATCGAAAAATCCAAAAGTGGAAGAAGACAAAAAAATTTTAAAAATCGAAAAATTGCAAAATCAAAATATGTAAAATTTAATAAAACAAAAAACTTAAAAATATCGAGGAAAATCGAAGAACTGAAGTATCAAGAAATCAAAAAATCCGAAAAATGTTTCAAACAAAAAATTGAAAAATCGAAATATCAAGCATTTTAAAAAACGAAAAATTGAAACATTGAAATGGGTCTAAATTGACAATCTGAATAATTTTAAATTAAAAAAAATCGTAAAACCAAAATATGTATCGAAAATTTTATTGAATAATCGAAAAATTGAAACATCGAGAATTCGAAATATGTATTGAAAAGTCGAGAAATCGGAAAATTGAAAAGTTAAAAATTGACAAACTGAAAGTTTAAAATGAAAAAAAATCGATAAATCGAAAACCTGACAACACATCCGAAAAATTTTTCAAACAAAAAATTGAAAATTCGAAATATCAAGCATTTTAAAAAACGAAAAATTGAAAAATTGAAAGATAGAAAAATAGAAACATGAATAACTGAAACCGAAAAAACGAAAATTGAATAACCGAATTGGCCAGAAATCGATAAAATCGAAATATCGAAAATTTTATTGAATTGAAACACTAAAAAATGTAAAAATGGAAGTTAAAAAATCGAAAGATCGAGAAATCCAAATATAAAAAATTGAAAAATCTAAAATTTACAAATTCGAAAAATTGAAAAACCGAAAAATTGGAATTCAAAAAGTTGACAAATTGAAAGAACGAAAAATTGAAAAGTCCTTGGATCGAAAAATTCCCCACATTGAAATTTTGAAAAATTGAGCAATCAAAGGCTTGAAAAATCGAGAAATCCAAAAGTCGAAGAAGACAAAAAAATTTTAAAAATCAAAATATGTAAAATTTAATAAAACGAAAAACTTAAAAACATCTATGAAAATCGAAGAACTGAAATTTCAAGAAATCGAAAAATCGAAATTCGAAAAGTCGAAAAATTGAAAAATTGAAACATCGACAATTCGAAATATCGAAAAGTCGAGAAATCGGAAAATTGAAAAGTTAAAATTTGACAAACTGAAAAGTTTAAAAAAAAATCGATAAACTGAAAACCTGACAATCACAAAAATTTTGAAACAAAAAATTGAAAAATCGAAATATCAAGCATTTTAAAATTCGAAAAATTAAAAAACTGAAAAATCTAAAACTGAAAAGTCGAAAAATTGAAAGATAAAAAATAGAAACATGAATAACTGAAATCAAAAAAACGAAAAATGTAAATCGAAAAGTCAATTGACCAATTGAATAAATTTAAATTAAAAAAAAAAAAAATCGTAAAATCGAAATGTAATGTATCGAAAATTTTATTGAATAATTGAAAAACTTTAAAAATCGAAATCCGAAAAGTTGAACAATTGAAACATCTAAAAATTGAAAAGTCCTTGGATCGAAAAATACCCAACATTGAAATTTTGAAAAATTCAGAAATCTAAGACTTGAAAAATTGAGAAATCCAAAAATCGAAAAAGACGAAATATTTAAAAAATCATAAAACCAATATGCGAAGAAATCGGAATGCCAAAAGGTCGTAAAATCGAAAAATTTAGAAATCAAAAAATGTGAAATGTAAAAAATTTAAAAAACGAAAATATTCAGAAAAATCGAAAAATCTAAAATTTAAAAAATTAGAAAACTAAAATATCGAAAAATTGAAGAATCGATATATCGAAATATAAAATTGAAAAATCGAAAAACTAATCGAGAAATTAAAAAATTCCACAACTGAAATGATGAAAAATTGACATTGAAACATCGAAAAATTGAAAAATCGAAAAACCGAGAAATCGAAAAGCCGAGAAATAAAAAATTAACAAACTCAAAAATTAAAAAAATCGATAAATCGAAAAATTGAAAAACGGAAAATTAGGAAATTCAGAAATCAAAAAACAAATTGCAATATTTTTCAAACAAAAAATTAAAAAGTCGAAATATTGACCATTTTAAAATTAGAAAAATGGATAAAACTGAAAAATGTAAAACCGAGAAGTCAAAAAAATCGATAGATCGAGAACTCGAAACCTGAAAAACTGAAAAATCTAAAATTTAAAAATTGGGAAAATTGAAAAATCTCAAAATCAAAATCCTAAAAGTCTAAAAATCCAAAGATCGAATAATTGAAAAGTCCAGAAATCGGAAAATTCTCAACATTCAATTATTGAAAAATTGAGAAATCAAAAATTCGAAAAAGACAAAAAATTTTAAGAATCTAAAAACCAAGATGTGAAGAAATTGAAATATCAAAAAATCGTAAAATCGAAACATTGAAAAATCAAAAAATGTAAAATTTAAAAAATCGAAAAACTGAAAAATATCTAGAAATATCGAAGAACTGAAAAATCGAGAAACATCAAGAATTCAAGAAATCGAAAATCAAAATAATTGAAAATTGGAAAATTGAAAAGATAGAAACTGACAAAGTGAAAAGTTTAAAATAAAAAAAAATCGATAAATCTAAAAATAAAAAAATCGAAAAACCGAAAACACATTGAAAACTTTTTGAAACAAAAAATTGAAAAATCGAAATATCAAGCATTTTTAAAATCGAAAAGTTGAAAATCTGAAAAATCTAAAACCTATAAGTCGAAAAATCGAAACATGAAAACCGAAACCAAAAAAACTAATTTTGAGAAACCGAAATGGACCAAAATCGAAAAATCGAAATATCCAAAATTTTTGTGAATTGAAAAACTGAAAAATCTAAAACCGAGAAGTCAAAAAATCGAAAGATCGAGAAATCGAAACATGAAAAACTCAAAAATTTAAAATTTACAAATTCGAAAAATTCGAAAATCGAAAAGTTGACAAAGCGGAAGATCGAAAAATTGAAAAGTCCTTAAATCGAAAAATACCCAACATTGAAATTTTGAAAAATTTAGAAATCTAATACTTGAAAAATTGAGAAATCCAAAAATCGAAAAAGACGAAAAATTTTAAAAATCAAAAAACCAAGATGTGAAGAAATCGAAATGCCAAAAGATCGTAAAATCGAAAAATTGAAAAATCAAAAAATGTGAAATTTAAAAAATTAGAAAACTAAAATATCGAAAAATTGAAGAATCGATATATCGAAATATAAAAATGATGAAAAATTGAGACATTGAAACATCGAAAAACTGAAAAATCGAAAAACCGAGAATACGAAACATCGAAAAATTGAAACATCGAAAATTCCAAACATCAAAAGATCGAGAAATCGAAAAGTCGAGAAATAAAAAATTGACAAACTCAAAAATTAAAAAAATCGATAAATCGAAAAATTGAAAAACGAAAAATTAGGAAATTCAGAAATCAAAACACAAATGGAAACATTTTTCAAACAAAAAATTGAAAAATCGAAATATCGATCATTTTAAAAATAGAAAACTGGATAAAACTGAAAAATGTAGAACCGAGAAGTCAAAAAAATCGAAAGATCGAGAACCAGAAACATGAAAAAATTGAAAAATCTCTAAATCAAAATCCGAAAAGTCTAAAAGAGAAGAAGACTTGAAAAATTCAGAAATCCAAAAATCGGAAACGACGTAAAATTTAAAAACTGGGAAATCAAGATGTCAAGACATCAAAATACCTACCAAAAAAATCATAAAATCGAAAAATTAAAAAATCGAGAAATTGAAAAATTCCAAAGCTGAAATGACGAAAAAATGGTAAATTTAAAAATAAGAAAAATGAAAAATCGGAAAGCCAACAAGTCGAAAAATTAAAAAACCGAGAAATCGAAACAAAAGAATTGAAACATCGAGAAATCGAAATGTTAAAATTTGATAAGCCAAAAAAAAATTAAAAATAAAAATAGCACAAAATCTAATAAATGAAGTCTCATCCTCCCCTGGAGCTTCGTGATTTTGTGGTTGTAACTAACTAGGTAATACGTTGGCATCCTTGTTTATAACTCAATGTAAAGCAGACTTTGTTAATGTGCAGGTGCGCAGTGACATGCGCAGAAGCATAAATTGAATTTTAAATTGTCTGACTTGTGCCATTAATTTTTTTAATATCCTTCATTTCTTCTTGGTTTTTGTGGTTTCAGGCTGTATAAACTAACTATGTACAGTAAATGAAACATTAACTACTGGGTGTAGTCTGTTTACTGACCGTCCATAATTTAATTAATTGTCCATGTCCGTGCTTGATTTCCGGTACATCAACTTTATAAACCATGTACAATTGTACACCCACAAACACAGCCACTTTTACAGACACATTAAAACTGTTACTTCTTGCTTTACCGACCAATCTCATTTCATAAATTACATTGCACCCTACAGACACGTAGACAGACTAATTTTAAACGCCTTAGTGGATCTTAGTCAACTCGGGACCCATAAATAAGGTTTTCGTCGATTTTTCTCTCCGGTAAAAATGCAAACTTACATTTTTCAACGTAACATCCCAGTTTCTCACATTTACGCTTGCAGCCTTGGGTACTGGAGGTGGACCAAGTAAATGTAGACTCTGGGCTCCTCGCTTATCCCCGTGATAAATCATCTCAGCCCCTAACTGCGGGTCATTATCGTGGTAGGCCCAAATTACCACCACAGTATCTCCCTGTAAATCACACAAAAACTTATAGCTAAAATTTATTTTCAGTGTGTTTATAAGTAGGATGACAATGACAGTGACGTAATGGCGGGAAAATTGAATTTATAAATGCGGCACTTACAGTTAGAACGTAGTCGTTGGGATCACACGTGTCCAAAACCCTCCGAAACTCGATAACAGTGTGGGTGTCGTTCTGGCTGCCCCTCATAAGCGTATAATTGTCGATTTCATCCTTAATGGGAACACTTCCTTGGCTGTCGGGCACCCCATGGCAATCCTGCAAGCAAAAAAAGAGTTGGTGGGAATTCCGACAAACCTCATCCGCCACTAAATAATTACCGGATGTCAAGGACAGGAAGTTGTGGAGTGATCTTCATGGCGGTGTTGTTAATAGAGACTCGATTATCTCGAAAGCACGAATATTAACGGAGTTGTTGGCGATAATTAAATTGAAGGTAAAGTGCTCCGATACGCGGCTCAGGATTTTTAAGAGATCAAATTCTAGTGCTTAGAAGCTGAAAAAACGCTGTGATGGGTACTAAGTAGGCTGTTTGCTTCCTCTTCATTGTTTTAAGAGTGAGGAGTGCAATGGTCTGTTAATTAAAGATGTACAAATCTGAATTTTGAAAGTATAATTTGAAGAATTATTCACGTGTGGTGTGCAATATTTTTTCTGATTCAGTTCAAACTGAGTTTTAAACCATCCTGTCGAGATAAGAATAACTAATGAGCAATAAAAGAAAATGAAATAAGGATGTGTGTATTTTAATATATCAGGAGCAGACGGTGATAAGTTGTGTAGTATGTTTTATTTGAATTAATTATGCTTGTCACACTAAACGGAAATTGGAAAAGTGTACTCGGATTTATGTAAAGAAAGTAATATAAGTGGAAGCAGAAGGTACAACTCGTTTAAATTTTTAGTTAGAAATGTCAGCTAATTAAAATAAGTTAATTTTTCTCGATTCTCAATCTGTTTTTTGTAGAGTGTGCTGCAAAATGGTAAGTAAGCTTTCTAAATTTTTATCATTGCTATATTTTTGAATTTGTCGCATTGCTTTCAATTAAACGCGAGAAGTAAAGCATGCACAATATGAATTAATTTTATTATTCATATCGTCTGTGAGAAGAAGTTTTCAATAAATCAGCATATTGGGACAAGTCTTCACAAAAGTAAGCTGAAGAATTCTCCTAATGTGAAGTCACAAAATCTGCTCGCAGAATCTTTCTCCAACACCCAGAAGATGACAGATCAACAAGAATATTGTTTCGAAGTGTGTGAAGCTTTCTTCAGTGCCGATATTCCTTTATTAAAACTGAATAACTCCATGATCATTTCTTAAAAAGCGTACCATGAAGTCGTGTTCCCGATTAAAATTAAATTATAGACGATTATCTAATTTATTTTTATGTTGATGAAACAATCGATTCATGTGGACGTTATGTCGCAAATTTGTTGATTGGAACCGTGACCAGTGAAAAATGAGGCACATGTTTGATTAGCACAGAAGCTTTGGAAAAGACAAATAATAATATCATTGTAGGGTTTATTCATGAAGGTTTAACGAATTTTTTTCTTCCGGAACCTGTTCCAGTTGAAAAAATTGGTCGAAAGTTATTTCGATAGAACTTCATCGCTCCTAAGGCACAGTCCAACAAATTCTGGTACTTTAAGAAATTATAAAAATTGATTTTGCGAAATTTACTTTTTGTGATGACCTCTATGGACAGAGAAGGTTTCACATTCTTAAAAAATCGGGAAGGCAGACAGACAGACAGACAGACAGACAGACAGACAGACAGACAGACAGACAGACAGACGGACATTCAGACGAGAACGGGAGACTTATTTCTTCGTGCCATAAAAGGTCGAGAAAACGTAAACGTAGAGGGTCGGCCGACTGACTCAATTACAATACTTCATTCGCTTACACTCGGGGGCCCCGAGAAGGTTTCATCTTCTTTAAAAATAAGAAAATTGGCACCCCCGTGAGGGTTTTATATTCTGGTTTCACCTTCTTTTAAAAATGACGTTCTTAAAAAAAACAGTTGGGGGCCTCGAGAAGGTTTCATCTTAATAATAATAATAATAATAATAATACTTTATTACGGAATTTCTCCAATTTACACAAAATATATAACTACAATATGTAAGCTATAGTAAGAAAAAATAAATAAAATATAAATATAAAAATAAAAAAAAAAAACAATTATAAATATAAATTGTCTTTACACTCAATTCTAATAAAATTTAAACCCAAATATGAAATAACCATCTTCTTCTAAAAGAGACAGTTGGGGGCCTCGAGAAGATTCCAGATTTTTAAGAAAAAGACACTGAGAAGGTTTCACCTTCTTCAAAAAAAAAAAAAAACATTAGTTGGGACCCTCGAGAAGGTTTCACATTCTTCTGTCTTAAAAAAAAACAGTTAGAGAACCCGAGAAGGTTTCACCTTGTTTTAAAAAAGATGTTCTTTAGAAAGGCAGTTGGGGGTTTCGAGAAGGTTTCAGATCTTTAAGAAAAAGACACTTGCGGCCTCTGAGAAGACTTCACCATCTTCAAAAAAGAACAATTGGAACCCCCGACAAGTTTCAGATTTATAAGAAAAATACACTTAAGGCTCCTGAGAAGGTTTCACTTCTTTAAAAAACAACAATTGGGACCCTAGAGAAGGTTTCACACTCTTAAAAAAAAAAAAACAATTGGGAACTCTCAGAATGTTACATCTTCTTTTAAAACAGACTGTTGGGGGCCTCCAGAAGATTTCAGATTTTTAAGAAAAAGACACTTGGGGCCCCTGAGAAGGTTTCACCTTCTTCAAAAAAGAACAATTGGAACCCCCGACAATGTTTCACATTCTTAAAAAAAAGACATCAGTTGGGACCCTCGAGAAGGTTTCACTTTCTTTTAAAAACAACAATTGGGACCCCAGAGAAGGTTTCACACCCTTAAAAAAAAATAATTGGGACTCCTGAGAAGGTTACATCTCCTTTTAAAACACACAGTTGGGGGCCTCGAGAAGATTTCAGATTTTTAAGAAAAAGATACTTGGGGCCCCTGAGAAGGTTTCACCTTCTTCAAAAAAGAACAATTGGAACCCCCGACAAGGTTTCACATTCTTAAAAGAAAGACATCAGTTGGGACCCTCGAGAAGGTTTCACCTTCTTTAAAAAACAACAATTGTGACCCCTGAGAAGGTTACACCTTTTTCAAAAAAGAACAATTGGAACCCCCGACAAGGTATCACATTCTTAAAAAAGACATCAGTTGGGACCCTCGAGAAGGTTTCGGTTTCTTTAAAAAAACAGTTAGGACCCTCCAGAAGGTTTCAGATTCTTAAAAAGAAGACACTTGGGGTCCCTGAGATCTCACAATCTTTAAAAAAAAATAATTGGGCCCACGAGACGGTTTCCCATTCTTCTGTCTTAAAAAAAAGTTATAGAACCCGAGAAGGTTTCAGATCTTTAAGAAAAAGACACTTGGGGCCTCCGAGAAGATTTCACCTTCTTCAAAAAAGAACATTTGGAACCCCCGACAAGGTTTCACATTCTTAAAATAAAAGACATCGGTTGGGACCCCTGATGAGGCTTCATCACTTTAAAAATAAGACATCAGTTGGGACCCTCGAGAAAGTTTCACTTTTTTTAAAAAGACGTTCTGCAAAATGAGACAATTGGGGGCCTCGATAAAGGTTAACTTTCTTAAGAAAAAGACACTTGGGGCACCTGAGAAGATTTCACCTTCTTTAAAAGTATAATAATTGGGACCGACGGGTTCATGTTCTTCCGTCTTAAAAAAACAGTTAGAGAACACGAGAAGGTTAAAAAAGAGGTTTAAAAAGACAGTTGAGGACTTCCAGAAGGTTTCAGATCTTTAAGAAAAAGAAACTTGGGGCTCCTGAGAAGATTTCACCTTCTTCAAAAAAGAACAATTGGGACCCCCGACAAGGTTTCACATTCTTAATAAAAGGATGTCAGTTGGGACCCCTGAGAAGGTTTCATCTTCTTTTAAAGTTGGAATATTAAGAATTGAGAACTCTAGAAACTTTAATAGAAGAATTCAGAATTTAGAAAACTGAAAAAGAAACTTCGAAAAATTGCAAATCGAAAAACTGAAGAAATAAAAAGAACTGAAAAATTTAAATCAAAAAGGTCACTGGTACTAAATTTATAGAGGTTACAAGGAAACTAATATTTTCCCATTTTTCAATGTTTCGGTTTCATAATTTTTCGTTTTTTCAACTTTAATTTTTCAATTTCTCAACTTCCAAATTTTTTAATTTTTCGTTTCTTTAAATTCTCGATTTACAATTTCTCAATTTTGCAATTTTTCGGTATTACAGTTTCGTTTCCTCAAGTTTACAAGTTCTTGACTTTTATTTTTCATTTTTCCGACTTTTTAAATTTCATCTTCTAGATTTTATATCGCAATTTTTAGTTTTTTCATTTCCTTTATTTTTTCTTTTAATTTTTTTAACTTTCGTCTATTCAATTTTTTAAATTTTTAATCTTTGATTTTTCACTTCCTTAATTTTTTACAATTTTTAAATGTTTCAATTTTGCATTTTTTTTTAATTTTAAATCTTTCGATTTTATAATATCTTGTTTTTGGAATTTTGCACTTTTTTGATTTTTAAGTTTCTCAATTTTTAAACTTTCGGTTTTTCGTTTCCCCAATTTTTCAGGTTCTAGATTTTTATTTTTCATTTTCGAGTTTTTTTTTATTTTCGTTTTCTCGATTTTTTATCACAATTTTTCAGTTTTTTCAGTTTAATTCTTCAATGTGTCTTTCGATTTTCATATTTTTATTTTTTGATCTTCCATTCCTCGATTTTAAATTTTTTTAATTTTATTTATTTTTTTATTACAATTTCTTTTTGATTTTGTACTTTTTCGAATTTTAAGTTTCTCAATTTTTAACTTTTGATTCGAAAGGTTGAAATTGAAAAAACGAGAAAATGCAAAATCGAAAAATTGCAAATCGAAGAACTAAAGAAACGAAAAATTGAAAACATTGAAAATTCGAAAAAAAAAATTAAATGAATAGAAAAACTGGAAAAAAGAAAAAGCGAATCCAATCAAAACATTAGAAAACATAAAAACTGTAAAACCGAAAAATTATAGAATCGCCAAAATTCTAAAGTCGAAAAATTGAAAAATCCAAAAATTAAAAAATCTCGCTTTGACAAAAAGAAAAATTATAAAATCAGAAAGACACTTGGGGCACCTGAGAAGATTTCACCCTCTATAAAAGAATAATAACTGGGACCCACGAGA